AAAAAAAGACGATAAATTAAAAAGTATTAATTAATTTATGTAATTAACATATTAACCAATCAAGCAAATAATTAACAATAGATTTAAATTATCAATTACCTTTAATTAAACAAAATCAAACAATCTAGAAAAGAATTGAGAATTATCTCCTCTATTCATCTTCTTCTTCCATCTTCATCTGCTTCACCAATTTATCTTCTTTCCGGTTTATATAAATTTCTCAACAACAATAAAAGTTTCTCTTTATCATCCTAAAATTTTTAAAGAACCAAACACATTTTACAAAGAAAATTTTCTTTCTATCTCTAATTTTCTTAACAACCAAACAACACACCATATTATCAAAATTATAAAAATTCTAACAAAAATTTATAGAAATTCATTATTTCTTCCTCTTTCTTTTTCCTTCTCTCCTCCGTCATCCTCCTCCAAGTTTGATCACCCAGATCTGGGTTCTCTAAGAAAATCCAGATCTAGATTCTCCTTGAGAACCCACGGGTTCTCTTGCAAAACCTAAATTTGGATTCTCCTTTAACAGATCGAGGAAGTGATATGTCGGTTCAGAGGGTAAGGGTATCATTTCCCTATTCATATATTATATGCAAAGCATTAACAAAAAATTTTATGGAGGGTTAGTTATAGACAGAGGAACATATCTAATCGACGAATTATAGTTGTCAAATATGAATTGGAATCAAATCTGTACCTTGAAAGCTGGCTTTGTCAACGGATTTGCAGGAATAACATCTTTCTTTGGAGCAGAAGTCTTTTTCTTCCAAGAACAGATCCGAATCCTTTCGAAAAACTTGAGCAATCTCGATTTCAAGGTTTCCCTTTGACTCGGAATTGCCGGCACTGATTCCAGATTGAATCGGAAGTCGAAGCTGTGGAGCCAGAGAAGGATGGAGAAGCTTTGGAATTTTCCGGTTGTTGGGATAATTCTAGCTTTTACAGTGAAATCGAACATTCTGCGAGCTCTGGCTTGAATGGTTAAATTCCATGCTTCGTGTTGTGGTTGGTGATGGTGCTGCTGCTGCTGATCTGCTTGCATTTTGTGAGCAGACGGACACGGTAAATTGCCCCAAAAAGACACAGCTGTGAAATAAAGTTAGGCTTTTAGCAGCTAGAATTAGATTCGAAGGGTAGTAATTCCTTCGGTTTTGGGCTTTCGTCTTTCCTTCCCTTTTCAAGGAGGGGTTTTGGCTTTTGGGCTTTGGGTGGATCATGGATTGTTCTATAGGTAAACAAAGTCCATAAATAAACCCAAATGGAGACATGAGATGAAACCACAAGACAAAAAAATAAATAAATAAATAAAGAATAAAAGAATAAAAGAAAAAAGAAAAAACCCAAACTGCCGTTCAACAATGAATAAAAAAATAAAAAAATAAAAAAGTATTATGCTGATATAACTTAAACCAATAAATAAGAAATGTAATCCATAAGCGGGTAGATGAATTGGCTGGAACTCTTCTAGCTTAATCAGAAATCTTGAGTTCAAGATTTGGGAATGCAACTCTGTTAAAACTTATAAGGGAGAACTTTGCCGCTCATTGGATCTTGTCCGGGTCGAATCCAGATTAGTTAGTGGTCTGATGGACTTCTGGATACCGGATGGTTACACCAAAAAAAAAAAAAAAAAAAAAAACAAAAAATGGTCACTAAAATCAATCAACAACTAAACAAGAGGCCCATATGAGATATTAGTGAGCTACTTCACTTGAGATCAAGTTGGGCTTGGCTCGACTCCACGCATGCTCAAGGTTGAATAAATTAGAAAGTTTGTAAGTTATTCGAGCTCAAACCCAAATTCTAAATTACTTAGATCAGCTCGGTTCGCTTTACCCTTCTAGTTTTGATAATTCCAATTCTCCAATGATGAATCCGTTACATGGCATAATAAAAATTAGAAAAAATAATAATGGATCCCCAAGGCCCAAATTGTGTTTACTATATAGCACAGCTTGGGCTCTTCAAACTTTAAAAGTTGCCGAACTGAAGCCCAGAAGAAGTTCGGCAATGCCCATAGCCGGAATTTTTTTTTTTGTTCCTATACCACAGTAAATAACTCTCCTTTTTTTAGGTTAATATATAAATTTGGTGTCTTAATTTTTAAATTTATCTTGAAATTATCCT